CACAGCTTGTTCCTCACAGGTAGTTCCTCACAGGTTTTTCCTCACAGGTTGTTCCTCACAGGTTGCTCCTCACAGCTTGTTCCTCACAGCTTGTTCCTCACAGCTTGTTCCTCACAGCTTGTTCCTCACAGGTTGCTCCTCACAGCTTGTTCCTCACAGGTAGTTCCTCACAGGTTTTTCCTCACAGCTTGTTCCTCACAGGTTGTTCCTCACAGGTTGTTCCTCAAAGGTTGTTCCTCACAGGTTGTTCCTCACAGGATGTTCCTCACAGGTTTTTCCTCTACAGGTTGTTCCTCACAGGTTGTTCCTCACAGGTTGCTCCTCACAGCTCGTTCCTCACAGGTTGTTCCTCGCAGATTGTTCCTCACAGGTTGTTCCTCCACAGGTTGTTTCTCACAGGCTGTTCCTCACAGGTTGTTCCTCCACAGCCTATTCCTCACAAGTTGTTCCTCACAGGTTGTTCCTTTACAGCTTACCATATCATACCATACCAATTTATTTATATAGCACTTAAAACAGCAACAAGGCCAACCAAAGTGCTGTCCAAAGAACACAAACATGCACAGCGGACAGGAAAACATAAAATAGAAATACAGATACAAATAGCAGCAGAAGCTAACTAAAATGGCCAACAGAGTAGAGAGCAGACCGGACCAAAACAAATCACACCGTGTTAAAGGCAAGCGAATAGAAGTGGGTCTTCAAGCGAGACTTAAAGACTGAGAGTGTGGGAGCCTGCCGGACACTCAGTGGCAACTCATTCCACAGTCGTGGACCTGCAACAGAGAAAGCCCTGTCACCTCTGAGCTTACGACGGGTTTCTGGGACTGAGAGAAGCATCTGGTCTGCTGACCTCAGAGAGCGCGGTGGGACATATGGCTGCAGAAGATCAGTGAGATAGGATAGTTCCTCACAGGTTTTTCCTCACAGGTTGTTCCTCACAGGTTGCTCCTCACAGCTTGTTCCTCACAGCTTGTTCCTCATAGGTTGTTTCTCACAGGTTGTTCCTCACAGGTTGCTCCTCACAGCTTGTTCCTCACAGCTTGTTCCTCACAGGTTTTTCCTCACAGCTTGTTCCTCACAGGTTGTTCCTCACAGGTTGTTCCTCAAAGGTTGTTCCTCACAGGTTGTTCCTCACAGGATGTTCCTCACAGGTTTTTCCTCTACAGGTTGTTCCTCACAGGTTGTTCATCACAGGATGTTCCTCACAGCTTGTTCCTCCACAGCTTGTTCCTCACAGGTTGCTCCTCATAGGTTTTTTCTCACAGTTTGTTCCTCACAGGTTGTTCCTCACAGGTTGTTTCTCACAGGTTGTTCTTCACAGGTTGTTCCTCACAGGTTGTTCCTCACAGCTTGTTCCTCACA